GTATTGGTGCTAGTCGGTCTTCTGTAGGAACCAGCAGACCCCAGTTGAGGGATCCTCATGGAGCATATCAGAATTTGCACCACAGTTCTATAGCATTTTACGTATGGCGCGCAAACCCCCACTGTACCTCCGCTGGCAGAAGGCAGGTGGGAAACTCAACGGGCACATTGATCTTGAGCCAACACACAATCTTACAAAAAACAAGAATTTTATTTACACCTAGAATTGGAACAATCGTTACATTTGGCAGTTTAAAAACCCAGGACAAAAACGCTGTGGTGGGTGTGTGAAACTCCGTTCATTTATTTAAATTCTTTTTTTTTTTTTAAACACATAATAAATGTGCCAACGTGCAAAGCAGTACAGAACCATCAGCAATTCTGTCGTATAGAATCCAAAAAAGGGTAAAAAGGATCACTGAAGCATTAAAACCATGAGAATTGCTGTAACAAAGGACCCAGGAGTGTTTCTACTAGATTTTTGGGGGGAGATGGGGGGGGGTGATTCCAAAATTTTCTCCATCCTAACAGAGAGAGGTATTTTAAAATACAGCCCCTTAAAAACACCCCATATATTCTAGATTATTCTGAAAGTTCAGGGAGCTTCCCTTCTCCCCAGTCACTAGCAGAGTATATTTAAATTTATTGAACTGAAAGTTCAGTACAATAAAAAGCTTTTTTAAAATGCAGTACCAAGAAATAAAGGATATGGGTCAGGGGGAGCAGGAGAAGCAAAATCCACACCCCCCCAAATTAAAGGGGAAAAGATCAGATTATTTGAGTGCACTGTTTCCCTAATAGCTTAAGACGAAGAGATAAGGTTAAAAATCCAACCGCTGTCAAACAAGCGAGATTACAGTTTGAACAGACAAAGGGGAGAGGCGGAAAGCAGGCAGTTCTAAATGCATTTGGAAGCATGCACATGGTGAATAACCAAAATTGCTCCATCAAGGAGGAGAAAACTGATCTGTGAGACGAGGACATCTTCCCTTCCCTCCTCTCCCCCCAAATGTGTCCCTCACACACACTGTAAAGGGACAGGTGACAAAACAGTGTTTAGCGGAACACCCAGCATTGAAAGAGCCGGAAAGATGGAGGCTCCACAATTGGACGGCAGGACGAGAACAAACAAAAAAAAGACAAAGGAGGCAGCAAATAAAAAGGACAGAGGAGCTATTTTTGGTATTCTCCAATAAATGCTCAATATAGAAACAATTAGCTTGCAAAAAAAAAAACCCACTAACGCCCCTACCCTCTCTATTTAAAATAGAACAGTTACTTAAGAAGTTTGCTCTAGGAATTTAAATGAATCACAATGCACTAGGGTGCCATTCTCTGCCCAGAAACAGCAATGGACAAGGAACAACCTTTCCCTGGCTCAGTTTTGGAGTTCAGAGACCGGAGCGGAAGACGACCAAGGGCCTGGATAAAGCTGTCAGGATGGAAAGCAATTGAAAGGATTGGGACTAATTAGAAAGGAGACAAATAAAAGGGTACAAGATAAAAGTAACAAACTAACGAATGGGATAGAGGCAGTAGATCTTCCGTTCACCCTTTCCACAATAGAACAAACTGAAGAATGAATTCAAAATGGATAAAAGGAAATAGACTTTTTCCACACAAATGCCCATTTACCCTGTGGAACTCACTGCCACAGGATATTGCAACTATGACTTTAGTAGGAGTCAAAAAGGGATTGGAGATTGGATATTCTCGTTATCCACATAAACGCCCAGAGTTCTAACAGTAAATATTAAACAAACAAGAATCTTGAAAGGGAGCCACTCTATTGGGAGTCAGGAGAATGCTTCCCCTGGGGTCAGAGTTATCCCATACACGTGGACTGCAAGGTATCTTGCACCTTCTTCTGGAGCATCTCTTGGGAGACAAAATATTGGACTGGATGGACCATGATCCAGTCTGGCAATTCCTATGAACCTTGATGCTACTTTAGAAAACGTTAAGCTAGGTTAGGGTGTCATCCAGTGGAAATTTATAATCCAAACTGGCTCCCAGTGACTTCAATGGCAGCTTTGCTAGTGGGCTCCAGTTAGGGTTGCCAAGCCTCCAGGATTATCCGGGAGTCTCCAGGAGTGAAAGATTAACCTTTAATTAAAGAGAATGTCATGTGATGAAACCTCCAGGAATTCAGTCAACCAAAGTTGGCAACCCTAGCTCCAGTGGAACAGGACTAGACCCTAAGCAGTTATAAACTGGAGCAGCAAATAGCCTACCCCAGGAGCAAGCTGGGAACACTGGAGGGGAGTCTCACCCAGGTTACCTGCCAATTCCTTGATAGTCAGCTTGCTGCTGCTCAGCCGGGGCACCCAGCAGAGTAAAGGCTCCCAGAACGATGCATCGAGAGGCATCGGATTTTCCTGGCAGCAGCCATTAGGGATCAGATTCCGCAGCACCCCCGCAGCGCAGCGGGCGGAGGGAGACGCTGCTCAGCAAGGGGACGTGACCTGCAGCACGTTCGCCTGCTCCTTACTGGGGAAGTGGAGACTCATTTAAGGCAACGGGGCTTTTAAACCAACACAATGTGCTAGAGGCGCTACTTGGGGGGAGCAAGCTCCAGCACATTGGAGCGTGGGAGACGCCAAGGGAGACGAAGGCCCGAGCAAGACGTGCTGTGTAGGGCAAAGCAGGCCTCTTGCACCTGCACTGGCTGGAAGCCTAGGCCAGATGCTCACAGGCAAGAGGCACCTGCATTATTTAAAAGGGAAAACTAGGAGGACAAGTGCTGGCTGAGTAAGCAGGAGGGCACGCCGGGGGCTCAATTCCGCAGGGGCTCTGGCGCCACAGTTCAATCTCGCGGTTCAGCTAGAGACAGGAGGCGCCACTAACCCCGGAAGATAGAGGAAGGCACAGTGGGAAAGCCCTTAACAACCACCCTTCTGTGTAGGGAAACAGCTATCCTCCCTCAGCCCCAGCCCGCTGTCCCTCTCCCAAGGGCCATCTCAGACTCTGCTCTGTCACCCCCCCCGACATTTCAACCCCACTGAGCGCACAGGGGGTGCATGGGAGTTCCACAGCATGGCATTTAGCTCACCAGCTGCAAACAGCTCTGCCAACGTAGACACTAGCCTGGTGAGCGAAGCAGCACCCCCACATATATGCAGCACACTGTTTCCTAGTATCTTGGGTCACAGCAGCCCTTTAGCTTCACATATTCCCCCCTGAATAAGGAAATTCCCCTGGGACTTGCACTGGATTCTTCTGTTCAGAAAACACAGTCCTGCTGCACGGGGATTCGGGCTCAGAGCCAAACTGGGCAGAGGCAGCTCATACGGCCTTCTTCCAAACCCATCGCTAGGTAGAGACCTGCGGCATGCCCAAAACTCAGGTTAATCCAAAACCCATTCAAGTCAATAGGTTTCTTTCCATGGTCTTTCTGATGTTTGTACAGCACCTGGCATAACACCTGCTCCACAGCAAAGACTCCTAGGTGCGACCATGATGCAGATAATTGACTTCACTGGGATTTGGATTAGGCTTTGGCTTTAAAGGAGGAACATGAGCAACAGCAAAGTGGGTGCGGGAAAGGGGCAGCAGCAGAGACTACGGTGGATGAAAAGTGAGGATCCTGGCAGCTGCCAACGTTCACTGAACAAACAGAGCTAGGCCTGGGCAGCAGTTCCAGGAGAAAACTGCTTTTAGGGAGGAGGTAGCAGCTCATTGCAGGGAGCAGGTGGGGGACAGGCCCTGGCCAGCAGTCAGGTAAGAACATACGAGAACGACGACAAAGCAGCTGGGGGTTGGGGGATGAACTTTCGTCTTGTGGCACCCCATGAATAGTTACAGGGAGCAGCACCAGCCCCTTCAGCATGGGAGCAGGGGGTGGGACTGGAGAGGCTGGATCTGGTTCACAGGTTTGAGCGATCCTTCAAAACTGGAACAGCAGCAGGAAGTGGCTTTTAATTTCCCTCCTAAGCCTTGGCGATATTACTCATGTCATCAAAACCTTCTAAAAGAGCCATGCCACTTGCATGCTCCCATCCACAGCCCAGGCATCGCTTCCTTCTGTGTCTGGATGATAAAAAATTTCCGGCTCTAGTTTTTCTTTAGTTCTGAGATGATGCAGCTGGAGGGCTGCAGCCAGTCTACAACCAATGGTTGGTGGGTTGTGTTTTTTTTTTAAATGCATTTTCAAGGAGTGTTGTCCCTAGCAATGGGCACAAACTGGATTAGGCTCCAACCTTTTCTCCCAAGTCTTGGCTATTCCATTTCCTGGAGATGATTTCCTCCTCTAATTCCCTAGCTTGTAGTGAGCCTGCAGACGAAATTGCAGAGCACGCTGACTACACCAGTGATCAGACAACACCTGCTGGCCATTTTGATGAACTGTACGTTCTCAGCACAGCAAGGCACATAATAGAGGTAAGTGAACTAAATCTAGCAGCTACTTCCCCCCCCCCCCGCGAACTGATCCAAGCCAATGGGAGTTGAGGAAACTCCCTGAGGATCAGACTCTACCATATTATAGGGTAGCTTGAGAGCAGGCAATTCACTAGTGAATAGGAAATGTGATTCCGCCATTAAGGCACATACCTGCTCCCCCATCTCAAAATCATCAGGCTACAGAATGAATAGATGTGCCTGCAAACATCAGACCCTTGGTAGAAGTGCAGAACCACTCCTAGGAAAGCACCTCCCTCCCATGGCAGTTAAAGGGCTACACACATCCCCTGTGATCCCCAATCACAGGTGCAGCGTTCTCGGCCACATGTACAGATGCAAAATGATCATTTCTAAGAATCACTCCATTTTTCTCAGAATAATTTATTAAATACAGCATTAAAATTTTATTTATGAATTCAGTCATTAAAAACAAGTTTGTATTTCATATATTTATGGACCTGGACAATCATTTTAACATTATCGGTGCACAGAGAGAGAGACCAACCGACCAACAGTGCCAGCGCTGCTAGGGAATGGTTATTCCCCCATCCTCCCTTCCCCCAAAGCCGTTCCACACAATGACATTTGCACAGAAGAGCTGTCCCCCAGCAGCCAGCCCTCGGTTAGGTAGAGGCAGGTGGAAGCAGGGGTGATAGAAAGGTTTAAGCTCTCAAGAACTGGCTTCTGCTAGTGGGTGCACAGCTTGAGACCCCTTATCTTGGGTTCAGCTCGCACGGGTGAAAAATGTCTACAGCTCCCATCACTGTCAAATGCAGCTGTAGGTGATCAGCATGTCTATCACACCGGTAGCAGGTCAAGATGGGCACCCTCAAAAAACAAAAACCAACCATGGCAGAGGCCCCCTGTTGGGGGGGGAAAAAAGTTGCCTCTAAATGCCCCTAACTCTGCCCCGGAGCATGCACATTTGGTTTGGTTTTGCACTGCGGCTTGCAAAGCTAGTTTTCCTTATGAGCCAGGGAACCCTACTCCAGTGGCAGATCAGCCTGTTCCCCAGGACAGCACAAGTTTGTGGGGGGAGCTGCAGACAGCTTTGATGTGGTGAGAAGCAGGAGTAGGCCACAGTCCAAGCACCTTCCTGGCACTCCCAGCCGCTGCCCAGCAAGGCTCTTTGGGAGGAGAGCATTTCGTGGTATAGGGTCATTTCAAAGGGCGGGGGAGTGTTCCCCATCACGCGCCTTGGGAGAGTTCAGAGGTAGTGTTAGACGGAAGTTTGAAGCATGATTGTCAGTTTCCACCTGGCTGAGAGCAGTGGAGAGTGGGAACGAAGAGGTTACGCCCTCCAGCGGATTTGAGTGGCATGGCAGAGCTTAGCCCCTTTATACCAAAGTCCGACAGCATTTAAAAGGGATGAAGCTAATAGGGTGCTGTAGGTGGTGCTCAGAAAATCCTATAAGGTTTTTATAGACAATTCTATTCCTGCAGGAGACCTCTAAAGACTGGCTTTAAAAGTGCCACGAAAAGGTATTAAGTTGTATAGCACGGGCCCCTTCCCCCCCTCACCGCCCAGGACTATCCCCAATACGAACCCTGCTAGGGTTACTGACGAGTGCCTAGGTCAAGGCCCTGGCTCCAGCAGCCCCCCTTGTCTCGTCACGTGCTGGCAACGTTTTAGCTTGCAACTGTTGGAAGCTGGCCAGTCACTTGGCAGCATGGCACTGCCGAGAGCCTGCCCTGTAGGCCCTATTTACTCCCTCGGTCTGTGACTGTACCTTCCGGAGATCTGTTGGGGCAGACGTTGCCCCATTGATTTGGTGTAAAGTGAGGGTGCAGAACAGGTAGGAAGGGCATTGAGGAAGTCAGCTACACCAAAGGCCCATGTGGAAGGATAACTAAGGCTGCTGAGTCCAGTCCCGATTAGAAACAGCACTCAAAAAAACCCACCACATGAAAAAAAATATGTATCAAAAGAACCCACACGAGCCCACTATTGCGGACAGTAGAGACAACAATTCAGTAGCATTTTCCATAAGGCATCACAGGTGCTTCAATAATAAAGCAGTAAATAAAGTGTTGGATTACAGTACGGGAACACAGACCATTGTGCAAGGCGTCCCGAGGGCAGGCAACATCTCCGCCCTGCTGCGTCAGCAGAGTGGGTGTGAGGGGGCTGTACAATTCCCCTCCCCCCCCCCACATACATACACACACCACGCCCCACACTGCTTCTCACCACTCGATTTCTTAAAAAAAGACTTAAAAATCTCAGCCCAGGAGTAGCCGGCGGCCCCAAGTACAAGATGCTTTGCGCGGTACCAGACTTGGCAGCAGACGGGGAGCCATGGGCTAGTTGCCATTGCTGAGGCTGGAGTTGGCGCTGCTGCAGCTCTGTTCATAGGAAGGGGGTGCCTCTATAGGGGAGAAGGGAAAAAAAAAGTTTAGGAGTCAGCACGTACAGCTTACTTCGAAAGTTTCCTTCCCACCACACTGCTCCTCCAGCTAGGGCCAGATCCAAATCCCACTGAAGCCAAAATGGCAAAAAAAGTCATCTCAGACTTTACAGGATTAGAGCCCATAAAGAGACGCACAACTGAGTGAGTGTCTTTTTGTGGACAATCTGCCATTCTGCTCCGGTCAGGGCATAAACCGGAGGACAGAGGAGCCAGGAATGCCTTTTGTGGCCCACAGAACACCGGAGATGCAGCCCCCAGCCCTGCCGTCTGCCAGGGAAGTACTGGAACTGGTCACTTGCGAGGCTGTAAAGGACAGTCTGTAGCTACTGAAAGACTCATACCCCTAGAATTTGTCTGTTCATGCAAGAAAAAGAACTTTCAACTAGGTGGACGGCCATCAACACAGGCACTTACATAGTCCTTCAGAGCTCTTTAAAGGTTACGCTTCACAATTCCCTGGTCTGGTAGGGATTAACACTCAGTTTTACAGGTGGTTCCTATCTGTGTTCGACACGTGCGTACACAAGCACACCGTGTGCCGGAGATCGGAGAATTCTAGCAAGAGCGTCCGTTGGTCTGTGCCTGCAGTTGTCCTCCTCCTGCGCCGAACCCAGGGGATAAGAGAAGGTGCAGACCAACACCTCCCCAGTTCCTTTATTTCTGCCAAATCAGATACAATCCACAGCAGAGGGGAAGGGGGGTGGGTAGTGCAATACGGATAGGGACCACACATCTCAAAGAACCTCTAGTTACAGGTAAGTAGCCTCCATTTCTTCTTAAAAGTGTGTGTTCCTAGGTGTATTCCACACACGGGTGATTGGTAAACTGTATTCAAATCAGGTGTGTGCGCGGGGGTGCAAGGATGCAGTTGGTATAGAGGTTTAATACTGCTGGCCCTGCTCCATCTGCAGACAAGGCCTGGACCAATGCCTAATGTTTCACTAACCTAGCTCCATTCATAGTTTTATGTCCAAATGAATATAAGAATCTTTCATGCCGAGAGCTGCAAACCACATTCCCTCCACCAGGAAGGGGATTATTTATACCAGGTTAACCAGCTAGCATTTTGATTTGCCGATATAAACACGTAATGGCTGAAGGCGGAGAACAGGTCTCCATCCTCTGTTTTTCTTGGGAACGATGGAATACGGGGAGTAGAAACCTTTCCCTTGGTGCGGAGGTGGCACTTGTTGGATGGAGAATCTCCTCCTGAGTGGTCCCTGAAGAGGAACCAGGAAGGGGAGAGGTTTTCTACGGAGTAGCCACAGTGGCTGATTTCTAATATCCACTTGTCTGTTGTGATTACCACCCAGTTGTGGGCAAAGAGGTGGAGGGGGCCACCAAATGCTCCGGGGGCAGAAGTGGATGGCATCAGTAGGGATAGGAGGTTCTTAATCATCCCATCAAAAGTAATCCCGGGGTGGTGGATGTGCTGGAGTATTTGCAGGTGTGGCACAGGGAGAATACCTACGTCTTTGTATCCGCCGACGTTTGCATGGTGGTTCGAAAGGGCACTGGTGGTGGAATGGTGGAGGCAACAGATTTGGCTCATGCACTTGTGCTTTCTCTTTGGGGCAGGGGTGTAAATGCCTGGGGAGCAGAGGATTGTCCTAGAGTCCTTAAGTGTTCATAGAGACTCGTCAAACTTCACACTAGATAGGGAACTTGCCCATCGAGTGTAATCTAGGACATTCTGAACCTCCTGGGGAAACCCAGAGGAGTGTAGCCAAGACTCATGCCTCATGGAGTATTCCTGTCTCCATCCCACTAGATGCCATGTTAGCAGCATCCACAGCAACTTGAAGGGATGTTTTCGCCACCAATTTGCCATCCTCAATGAAGTCTTGAAATTGGGCCTGGTTTTCTTGAGGAACATTTTGGACTTCAGGGACAAAAACGCCCAGTAACTGTTGAAGTCATTTTGCCAACAGAGCCTGGTAGTTAGCAATACGAAACGGAAGGCTGGTAGAAGATACCTTCCTCCCTAGAAGGTCAAGCCATTTGGAGCCCTTGTCCACAGGTGCTGCTTTAGGATGCTGCAGCCTAGATCTCCTGGAGGCTGCTTGCACCACCAGGGAGTTGATTGCTGAATGTGTGAAAAGAAACTCCACTCCTTGGCTGGTACAAAAATCTCACCACTTGCCCCTTTTCAGGGTGGTGCACAGGAGGCTGGAGAATGCCACGCTACCCTGGCTGGTTCCAGGATGCCCTCATTTACTGGGAGGGCTACTTGGCTGGAAGCAGAAGGCTGCAAGTTGTCAGAGAGTGTGCTGAGCATCTTGGACATCCTCAAGTGAAACCTGGAGTTCATTCACCACTCTCTGCAGGAGCTCCTGATATTGCCTGTGGCCATCATGCAGGGATAGGGAAGGGGCAAATTGCCTCATTTAGTGAAGGTGAGAAACACCCATTGGTACCTCAAGATCCAGCTTGAATTTCTTCTCCCTTGTACTACCAACCAGCTCCATTGTGTAGTGTAGAAGAGGGTCAATGGGACTCATGGATGGCTCCAGGTTGTCTAAAATAGGGATCCCATAGACCTGAACAGGTCCAATATGAAGGGCTGACCAGTTGTGGGGGATCCCAAGGAATCACATTACATCAGTTCCTTGGATAGTTGTATCTGGGTGGAGGATGGACTCCAGATCTTTGAGTCTGTCTGAACTCCCCTCCATATGTGGGGATGATGGTTCATCTGGAGCTTCCAACCCACCTAGAGAGAAAGCTGGTTCCTGTTCAACCAGAGCCATCTGCACTGGTGGGTAAAGCTCCTGCCTATGGACGGGAGAGGGTAGCATCTCCATTTCCTCAAGGTTCCCTCCTCCAGTGTCAAAATGTCTCAAGACCTGAAAGAAGGGGAGGTTGAGGAAGGGGAGAGTGAAGATATACATTACAGCAGTGGTCACCACCCAGTCGACCCTAGAGGATTTCTGGTGGTGCAATGGGGCTGCCACTAAGGCAGGCTCCCTGCCTGCCCCAGCCCCACGCCGGTCCCAGAAACAGCCAACACAGCCCCGGAGGGTGAGGGGGGCGGGGGGCAGGGGTCTCCCTCCGTGCCTGCAAGCACTGCCCCCGCAGCTCCCATTGGCCAGGAACAGGGAGCTGTGGCCAATAGGAGCTGCGGCGGTGGTGCTTACAGAGAGGGGCAGCACACAGAGCCACATGCCCCCGCCCGCCCCCAGGGGCATGTTGGCCCCTTCCGGGAGTGGCGTGGCACGGCGCCAGGGTATGCTGGGAGCCTGCCTTAGCCTTGCTGTGCTGCCGACTGGGAGCCACCCGAGGTAAATGCTGCCCGGTGGGAGGCCACACCCCAATCCCCAGCCCAGAGCCAGCACCCCAAACCCCCTCCTGCACCCCAACACTCTGCCACAGCCCGGAGGGCCCCCCCTGCACCCAAACTCTCCCAGAGCTTGCACACCTCCCCCATCCTGCACCCCAACCGTCTGCCCCAGGCTCAGCCCAGAGCCCCTTCCCACCTGTGAAGCCCTCAGCCCCAGTCCAGAGCCCCCTCCTCCCTCAGCCCAGAGGCCCCAGCCAGCCCAGTGAAAGTGAATGAGGGTGGGGGAGAGCTAGTGAGGGAGGGGGGATGGAGTGAGCAGGGCGGGGTAGATCCTGGCTTGCCCTTAAATTCAAAAGTGATCTTGGGTGTAAAAAGGTTGGAGAGACTGCCCTACAGGGAGGTGTAGGTTTTGGTTGGTCTTGAAGTATGAGGTGTTCCTATAGTTGGGACTAGCAGATCTGGCATGTCCCTAGTCCAGGAATGGGTTGGTACCGTCAAAGTCTAACTGGGACCTCAGGTGGTCTTGGTGTGCCGATCCTTCGGCTTATCAACTGGAGACGTGGTCAGTGCTGGCAGAGCCTTTCATCTTCGCGCCTTAGCCTCACGATCAGAGGGTTTACGCTGGCTAAAGTCTTAGGATTTGGGCACAAGGAGGGATTCCGTCTTTTGGGAGCAGACCTAGAAGGACACGTGTCCTCGTACTCACGAGTGCCCCCTTGCTCTCATGAGCAGCCCTAGCTGATGACTATTTGGGTGTCGCAGCTCTGGAGCGCGTGCTTGGAGGGCCGTTGCTCATTGGTGGAAGCCGATGTACGGGGTGTGGGGGAGTGTAGAGGGAATCTCCCTGGCCTGTATCTGACAGAGTTCTCAGATGGAGATCTCCCTCCTCACAAAGGCAGCACCGTTGTTTGATGCTCACAGAGAAGGAACGGGGATAGAGATACAGTTCTTCAGTGAAGCTAAACTTACTACTAAAAAGACAAACGACCGCCACCAAGACTCCATCCAGCAGATTTACAGGTTCTGAAGACAAAGACGAAACACAGGGGAATCTACGGCCACAGAAGATTCCGAACTCGGGCCATGCGGTGGTAAGAAGGAACTGGAGAGGTCTCCGTCTGCACCGACTCTTATCCCCTCAGTTCGGAGCACAAGGAGGGCATCTGTGCGGGTTCGGACCGACTGACAGACACTACTGGCTAGAAATCTCCAGTCTCAGGTGCATGGCGTGCATGCATACCGACGTGTGCAATACACATAGGGACCAACCCTCGAAGTAGTAGTCACGGTTTTGCTTACTTATGCAGCGGTTAGGTTAGTACCCCTAGATCTCCCCCCCTCCCGGTCAATCAGCATCCTCTCACTCCCCTTGCAATTCATCCATCCCTTGTTTGCGGATGTTTGGCCTCGAAGAAACATTTTGGGCCAGTTACACAACCAAGACGCTACCTAGTGCCTCAGTTTTTACCCTGGGCATGAAGGGTGTTCTTACTGCCTTAGGATATTGGTTTGGTCTAAACCTGCTCTCACAGACCCTATATGGGCAGTTCTGGGATAGGCAGGGTTCCATGGATTTTCTCCTCATGTATAAAGGCGTTCCCAAATTCTTACATGCTGGACCATCTTATCAGACATGTAGAATTTCCCCTCTTTGAGCCAGACCAAATGCCCATTCACGTCAAAGGAAAGACTCCCGTTAAACTTGCTTTTCCAGCTCTGTTGCCCACCAGCATGGGCCCAGACATTTACACCATCCTGTTGGACCAACACCATCTTTTACAAAGATCTTCTCCACTTCCACAGCTATCCAAGATAATGGTGGCTGTGGGTAGGTAGCCTCACTCAGTAGACATGTGACATGACTGTCATGGTTATGGGGGGGTGGGGAGAAGATCCTTTATGGAGGCTACTGGACACAGAGACCCTGTGGCTTTCCTGACTAACAGACCGTGTGGCCTTGTCTCCTCATACAAGGCTCTCCCCGTGTCCTGGCCTGGCTCAGCAGCCATGGAAAGAACCACTACACCACACGGCAGGGCTTCAGCCACTGCTCTGGAAGCAGCGGGGTAAGGGACAATTCTGTACTCCCAACAGCCGCTAGATTGATTTCCCCTCAGAACCTGGACAGTGGCTCTTTTAGAGCTCCGGGAGGGAGCGCTCACCATAGGGGTAACCCCACGTGCTGTACTCCGGAGGCAAGATGAGAGAGCCAGCGGTGGGAACCGGAACCACTGTCCCCTCAGCATAGTAAGGGACGGTCGCTCCTGTCGCCAAGCAAAGTGTGGGGTGGTTTGGGGAGGCAGTCTGGTCTGAGTCCAGCCTTAGGTCCTGGAAGCTCAGTCCTGGAGCGTAGCTGAACGCCTGAAGCTGGGAATGGCTTTTGGTGGGGATTGAAACATTGTCCATTGGGTGATAGCCACTGGCAGCTTCCTCCTCTTCTGGTGGGGCGGACGGGACCACAACGGACGGAATGTGCTGGACCGACCTAGCCGGGGTCACAGGAACCCTGTTCACAGCGATGTTGCCGATGTAAATAGGCAGAGTGACTGAAACCTCTGGCGACTTCAGGGAAACCTGGGGAGAGGGGAAAACAAGGGGCATCCAAGTCAGTCAATCCAGGTTCTGCCAAAGGACCAGTTGCTCCAAAACACAGGCAGTTCCAGCCACTGAGCAGAGATTAACGAGCCAGCTACAGCTCTAGGCCCAAACGTGCCCGAGTGGGAGCGAGTTACTGGGAGGTCCCCAGTCTCACGCTGGAGCACCCACATGGTCTTGTTTGGTGCCTTAACCAAGTTTTTAAGAGGGCTCAGGGCCAAATTTCCAAGTACTCAGGACCCAACGTGCAGAATTCTGCTGAAAGCTTGGCCAGAAGCGTCACCTTTATTCCTACCGCTAGCCGGCTAACCCCAGACTTGCTGAAGTTGGGACTGCTCGGTTCGGCTTGCTGCTGAAAAATGCGACGTAAAGCCGTGCGTCTATGGATGGGGATTGTAGTATTTCCCCTGCACCAAATCGGGAAGCGGACTGGACCTCTGTAACCCAAGGAGCTGCAGACACACATCTGCTGAGCAGTCTGACAGGCAAGTCCTACCACATGGGCGTCTCCTCCAGACCAGGCGGTGTTCACTCCCAGGAGCGCAGTATAGTTTGGAGAGCTTCCCCCAGGCACAAACTCCTCTGGCTCCACCCTCCCCAAGGACTCTGCCTGCTCTGGCCCAGCCCATTGGAAGCACTCACGGGTGTTCTGCTGGTAGGAAGGGGCAGGGCAGTACCTACTTGGATATAGTAGTCGACATGTATGAGGCTGCAGCCGTGCAGCACAGACTGCGGCAGCGCAGGGACAAGGATCTGCTCCTTCCATTCCGCGTGCTTCCAGGCCTTCACCCCCGAGCCCTCCACCTCAGCAATGGTCCTCAAGTCATAAATCCAGCGCTTGGATTTATAAGCGACCTTCTAGAGAGAGGAGCGAAGAGGGGATTAAGCAGAAAGATTTCTACAAGGTTCATTTCACTAGGCTTCCAGCTTTGCTCAGGGCTGCCAAGAACTAGAAACCCCTTAAGCGTTGCCGAGTGAGAGTAAGCAGAGGTCTGGCATGACCGACAGCAACCTGGAGTTTCTGCCCTGTTTCAATTATGTGACAGTTGCCATCTTGGCGGACACTCTGGAGACTAAATCAAGGACTCCAGAGCTGAAAGCATGGACTACTACAGCTCTCTAGCTGGTGCTGCAAGAGACTCAGTGGAGCAGGCACAGAGTGGGGTGAGGATCTGTAACCTGCCCTCTGCCCGCGCACGGAGTTACACCTGGACTGCATTCAAGGGGGCTTCTCTCCTCCCACCATGCCCAAGTTAGTTAATTCTGGTTCCCCTCTCAGGGTTTGGTTTCCACCTGACCTCCTCCCACCACCACCTACTGTGCACCTGGGGAAGGGAGAGGCACAAGGATTTCGAGTTTAGCAGACCCCCCCATTGATATTATCATTGCGCCTAGGAGGGAAAGCAGGTCTTGAGACACTGCTCTCAGCACCTGTCTGGATGTGGCTCCATCCAAGCCAGCCCAACACTGGTCCCAGTCCCTGCCGCTGACTCTTACCTGGAGGAGGCTGGCCACCACCGTGCCAGTGTCCCGGCCAGACTTGTTCTCGATGTCGGTGCGCAGCTGGATTGCCTGCCCCACGATATACCCTTTGAGGTCCGAGGTGGCGGTTAAGATGATGTTTCCACTCTTCACCAGCTTGTAGTTGAACTTCTTGGTGATGGACGTGGTGTTGGGTTGCTGTGGGAGGACAGCAGGTAGTCAGATGTGGGGGCTCAAGAGGGAGTTTGCAGTTTTCAGAAAAAAAAATGGTCAAAGGGAATGAGGGTTTGTCCCCCCCAAAAATCCTAAACACCTGGTCTTCCAACAACCTTGGTATCCTATGCAGTTTGAATGAGGCTGCAGGCGCCTCCGGGTGGATGCCACATCTCCCACATGTGGGCAAATACAACGCTATGAGCTACTGTACCCCACAGATCGTCTTCCAGAGTAGGGCAGACTTCGCTGGTCCCCAGAGGGCTGTGCAAACCACAGGTAAACACAAAGCAGCTGCCTTTCCCGTACATGCTGTACAGTGATCTCAAGGGCCAGTGCCCAGGGGGGGTTAGTCTGTGCAGGCCTGGAGCATTCCTCTTTCACACCAGCAGTGACACAGCCACCCCAGAACACGGGTCTATTCCTCAGGAAAGATTCCAGGCTGGCAAAAGCCAGACGATGGTGTCATTAGACCCAAAGGGCCATTACAGCCACCTCTAGGATAAGGCTGGTTACATGCTCCCCCAGGCCTACACCCAGTGGGATCACCTAGAAAAAGGCTGGTTCTCATGCAGATCTCTGCAGCCCACGCATGAAGGTGGCTGAGGGGCAAGTAGGGTGGTCCAGTCTGGTCCGCCGTAAGTTATTTATAGCCAGTACAGCGTACAGGAAAGACACAGGAGGAGCAGACAGTGGGGCCGCCCAGTGACCCCAGGCTGGCAGCTCTACCATCCCCAGGCCTTCCATGCAGCTGTGCACCCGGGTCTCCTGTCCGGGGTCTGTACAGCAGCCCTGCCGGAGGACAGGGCTGGGGGGAGGGGCTGGGGTTGGTACAGCCGCGCTGGAGGAGCAGCCAGCGTGGGGCTCAGTTGCCAACGTATCTGAAATAAATATTCTCTGCTGTCAGAGGGAGCTGGTTTGAAGCTCTTCTGCTGGCGATTCTCAAAGCAGGTGCGACTGTGAGCCGGCTATTGTTCTTCTCTTAGCAGCCCACACAGCAGCTGTGCCGTGTCCACCCACTGGGAGCGCTCCCCTCCCCCCCCAGGTAACGTGGGATGGATCATGGGGAGGGGCGGGGGAGACCAGGGGGCCCCAGGCTAGGGGAGAGGTGGGGTCACACAGGGAGGTCACATGCCCCCCCTCAACTGGTGCAGCGTACCGGTAAGAAATGAATACTACTTGCACCACTGGCGCTAGTGGAAACAGGCCCATGGATTTACGGCCCAGACCAACGATGCCCTGCAGTGCTTTGGGTGACAACGTGCTAACCCCTACTGCATCTCATCCCATGCAGTGCGCTCCATGAGCAACCCTCTCCTCCGAGTTCGAGTTCCCCCCCTGGCTTTGCAGGGCCACACTGCATAGGGGGAAGAGGGATGCTTGGCTTCCCCTTTATGCCAATGGGAGACGCTCCAGGGTGCAAGAGCCTCGTGCCCGCCCCCTTGCTGCTCTCTTACCTCAATGTCCGGGATGTCATTCAGGTTGAGCGGGCAGAGAATGTAGAAGACCTTGTTGCACTTGTGGTCCTTGGCGAATCGGGGCGTATCTATCACGGCTTTGACCTGATGGACCACCTTCCCAAAAGGGCCTTCAAACGACGTGGGGGCCGATGCTGGATTCACAGGGGAGAAGGCAGTCAAAAGAGAACGCCTCAAGCCATCGAAAGGGGAGCGCGGCCTTTCCCACTGAGCCTGAAACACTTCCCTGTGGCTCAAAGCAAGAGGAGAGGCAGAACCTTGCAACTATTTGGGGGTTAGGGTCTCCCAAGTGCATCTGAGCCCGTGTGTGAAGAATCCGAGACCAAATTTGGTCCACTGGGATCACTGTAGCCTCCTTTTTACTGAAGGGGCAACCCGTGCCATGCAGTTATGGCGTATGGAGAAGTAGGGACAGCACTAACTCCTCTTATTTGTACTATGGTAGTGCCTAGGAGCTCCAGTCATGGACCCGGCCCCACGGTGCTAGGCGCTGTACAAAACAGTGAACAGAGACAGTCCCTGCCCCAAGGTCCTGACCATCTTCTTCCCACTCTGCTCTGGAGAAGTTTACAATACAGAGTTCCCACCAGCTCTGGTGAGAAGGTGAGGTCGCTAATACAGGCAGACTCCAACAGCTTCCAGCTTATTTTACTACCGTGTGGTTTAGTTAATATGGCCGTAGAGGCACCAGAGGTTCCCAGAGCCTCATCGGCACTAGGCAAAGAAGAACTGCGTAGTTCCTTTTCGGGTGAACCAGCAGTGGGGTCAAGAGGCAGGACTACAACGCAGCTTCCATCATCACTATCCCCAGCAGGGGTGTAGGGATCTGAATTTGGCCCGTGGAGACACAAGTCATGGCTCTCATCAGTACTACAGCTCTCGAGGAGATGGGTTTCCACGGAGATTCTCTAATGAAGAGAACCTCCAGAGGGATAATTCCTTAAAGGGCCAGTTTACTCAAAGTTGCTCTTCTAAAGAGCTGGAGTCAATTTAAGACCAACTCCAGCTGTGCATTGAGAGGCTGCCCTGAGGGCCTCACTTTAATAGAGGTTATGCTCTTACTGCTAGCGCTCTCCAAAGCTTAATGTGCTCTTAGGCCTGGACTAGACCAGGAGAATAGCTCTGGTTTGAAAACATACTGGAGTACACGACCTTAAATGTGACTTTGCACCTGGCACGGACACGCTTTAATACCACCAAGAGTCACTAGCTGTTTGTGGCGGACTCTGGGCTCCTGCCAGCGTTGCCAATAGGTACAAAAGTCACGTTTAAAAATCACAGCCAGCCAGCTCCAAATCATCACCTGGTCTCCTAGCGGAGGCAAGATCTTAGAGGCTTGACAATAATGGTCCTTTCCCCACATGGCCAGCGTACAATTTTTACCGTATAAGCCAGAGGAGAGAAGAGTCTCCTGGAAACACTAGAGTCACTAAGTTTCCACAACCCTGAGCCCCAGAGAGCATCCCAAGCAGTCCGTATCTCCACTGTACCTGGCAGCAGGAACTGGAAGGGAAAGGTGTGCTCGCCAGCTGTCAGAACTCCTGCAAGAAACAGCAAAAGGCAAGTGAGACAACCTGGAAACATCCTGGGCACTAATGGCGGGAAATGGGATCTCAGTGCATGAGCATGAGGCTCCCCCCCGGAAGACAAACTGTGAGCTGAGAGCACATGTACAGGAGTCATCCCCACAAAGCAGTCCTCTCACCACAGCTGAAGCACTCTCACGCTCAGTGCATGTAATAGGTCAAGATCCATTTGCCTGTCTAAACACTAGCAACAGGGGAGATGTGGGGCACGATCCTTGGAGCAGCAGGTGCAGTGGTCAGAGGAGCAAGGTCTATAGCTACTGGCTGGCCACAGGTGACTGGTGTGGGACCCAGGAAGGAGATGCATGTGAACAAGGCCAGGATGTGCAGCATGTTCTGCTGGCTGTCCCGGGCTTGGGGAAAAGTTTGGTGGTGTCAGACCAGTATAACCTTAATCTTCCCCACATGCTGCTCACCCTCAAGGAGCCCATTTACCTAGGTAAGACCAAACTCCCCCTCCTTCAGCCAGGTTGCTTTGCAGTCTCTGGCTCTCATCAGCGATGTTCCAGCTTTGGCCCTCCTGAGCCCCGGTAGGATTAAAGGCAGAGTCCAGATTCAGACTCTGAGACCCTACGGTTTTGATCCTGGTTTTTAGAAGCCATGGCTGAGATCTCACATATATCAGCTTGAAAAGACTTCAGTGCAGTCCACTGGATTTGTCCCACAACCAAGTGCAAGGGTCATACCGTGAACAAGGCCTGTAATACAATAATCAGGCCTAGATAGACTGCAGATCCCAGACATGATCTTTGTGCTTTCAGCACGGCAGGCAGTCTCCCCTCCCTCCGTTCTGCCTGGCACCTACACCCCAGGCCCTCACCTGAAGAGCTGGATGGGCTCCAGCAGGGGCGCTGGAACCATTTGTACAGTGTGGATGTGGAGAGCCATTGAACCACCCTGTATATAATGGAAAACACTTCAAGCCAGGGCATGTGGCAGCCCCCTCAGCATCCCTAGTTCCAGCACCTATGGCTCCTACGTCCCACTTCCATCCTTTGAGATGGGAACAGAATTCAAGAGACTGTGGCATGAGAGATGCACCTCTACCCCGATATAACGCTGTCCTCGGGAGCCAAAAACACCTTACTGCGTTATAGGTGAAACCGCGTTATAGCAAACTTGCTTTGATCCACCGGAGTGCACGGCCCCGCCCCCCCCAGAGCACGGCTTTATCGCGTTATATCCGAATTTGTGTTCTATCGGGGTAGAGGTGTAATTGCCGGTCTGGTGGTTTGCCTTAGCAGTTACGGGTATTAGAGACACTTGGATTTGATCAGGCATTGGGAGAAGGGTTTAGATTTTGTACCAGAGACTTCATTTTAATTTGGTATCAAGTTCTCCGCTTCAGCATGTGCTGACCCTTTTCCAAACCCACTATTACTTTAACTACAGTGGCCAAGCAGCAACTCTAGTTAAAGGTCTTTGGACCACATTAATGGCATTGTAACCTACCGTAAGAGCACTTCTTGGCTCTTTGCTGCTTGTTTCTCCAGATTGCAACGATTCGCTTGGCATGGCTAAAGCAATTAGCAAATCCTGCCTTTTAAATTACAAGCCAACTGCAATGCTCTGTGCGCCGTTCTCATTCCAACCTAGTTCATCAGCAGTTGATAAATTGTAGTTAAGGGCAGATAAGCGATACCGTTATACTCACTATTTAATCTCCAGCAATAAACAGCAAGAACGAAGAGAGTTTTACAGAATTGTTGTTTACAGGTACACGTGATGTTTTTAATTGGCAGCATAGCAAGAGGAACCTGCTACCTATTAACTGAAGCTGGGCACGTTCTGCAGGTTACTTATGTCAGCAAGCCAGAGCCAAAACCCAGAAGTGAGCGAGCTAGTTTGTTGAGGCAAGAAATGGGCTACAATACAGCTGCCAGTCGCTATGTTAACGTTATAGTAGGACCCATTTGTCAGCAGACTAAGCAGGTTATCGGACGCAGATGGGAAAAGAGACACGGACAGCAATGGAGTTTCTCTTCCCCATTTGCAGGGAGACATTTTTGCAACATGGAATCCTGTAACAGGGTTGGCCACTTCCTGAATGCCTGTTTGCAGTCGGGTGCCTCTGCTGACACCTGCTTCTGTTTCCCCCACCCCTTCAGGGCCACACCAGAACGGCGCACGGACTTCTCTCCGGGTCAGCACCACCCCTGCCTGGAGCCAGTTTCACAGAGTTCTGAACAGTCCTCAGGGCCCCAAAACTAAAGTCCATCGCCGCACAAGATTCCAGACTTTTCACGACCAGAGCTCTTCTTCTGTCCCTGTCTGTTCTCCCAGGCCATCTTCCCAGCTGGAGCTCAGTCCCCTGGCACTGGCCTCTAGGCCCCCAAACTACTCAGCTCAACTCCCATCCAAGAGCCTCCTTTCGGTCCCAGCTCCCTTGGTCTCAGGGTCTTTTTGCAGGAGCCCTTCTCCCGCTCTACAATTTCCTGATCTTACCCCTTACTGCCCTCAGGTGGGGCTTATTCTGTGATCAGGGACAGCTAGCCCCAGGCTCTCCTGCCCAAGGGCATGCCACCCTCTTACAACTCCAGACAGATTTCATTCACACCCCAAAGTTGGAGGAGTTTGAATCAAGGTCTGGGCTGTTGCAAGCTTTGCTAGGAATTCTGTTTTTTATTCACGCAGCCGAGCGGTGGGGGCTGTGCAAGGGGAAAAAACAAAACAAAACAAAAAAACACCAACTGCACACACGACTCGGTACATACAGAAATCAACAAGCCTCTCTGACCTTCAATGGAAAGACACAGAATGTGACAAGCGTTAAGATCTTAATTCCTCCCAAACTCATGACTGAACAAATGTCTAGGCACCTCGTCCTTTACAACAGGAAAAGGAATCATCCATTAGACATGCTGTTAGGTTTCAATCCTCTCCCCCCTCCATCCCCAAAAACAAAAACCACATACACACCCACCCGCACCCCACCAAGGTGTAGGCTAAAGTCTAATAACTAGTCTAGTCACTAGGTGGTGTTCTGTAGCAACTCTTCAATTGCAGGCCTACTCAAGCCCTTGCTGGGAATGACATGAGGATTTCCAGAGTAGAAGGGGTTACTCTTGTGTTTTTAGAAGGGGTTGGAGGAGGTGTCTGTGTGGAGTAGATATCTCATTTCCTTTATTTGCCCAGCGCTGGCACACAGCTATAGGAAGTTCAGACCAATCCATGATAAAGATCATGCTATAAACGTGCTGGACTGAAGCTCTCTCACACACACACAAATGTAATTCATACATAGAGTGGCTGAAGCACAGGCCTGGGTGACAGGAGACCTGATTTCCAATCCCCAGCTCTGCCATCAACTCACACCAAGGCTCAGGCAAATGGTTTCACCTGCGTGCCTCAATTTCCCTACATGTAAACAAGGTAATGTATTCACCTACAACACTGGAGTGGTTGCAAGGATGAGTTATTTGCAAAGCACTGTAGAGATGCCAAACTCTGCATCAAGCGTTCATTGCTACAGTCAAAACCCCCGACTGCTGCGTCTTGGCTTGTCCGCCCTAGTCGCGCACGGTTGAAGTGTGGTTGCAGCATCAGACAGTTGGCTTTGCTAGTCTGGAAGCTTTCCAAAGAGGATACACAGGAGACAACACATGGCCTTCCTCGGAGAGGCACCTGTGCCCAGGAGGGTTTCCAGTGGCTGCACACAAAGACTATTTATGAGAACAATTAAAGTGTGTGCGCGTGCATGTGGCGGGGGGGGGGGGGGGAAGAGAAGAAGAGGAATAAAAGTCTGGCATTTGGTGCCCTCCCGTAAGATGGAGGCTGGCTAGCCAACTCCTGCCCCGGCTGGATGCAGACCAGGCCACCCTCAGACAGCTGCACTTCCAAGGGCCGTGCTGAATCTTGAAGTCTGTTATGTCCATTGCCGTGGCTGGGCCACCTGTTCTAGTTATTGCAAGCGATCAGCGCAGTGGAGAGAAAGGGAGCTCGGATGGGTGGCTCTCAGCCTGCCTCAGGAAACAGACAGGTGGGCCTTAAGGTATCAGTGACATGTGTGATGCTCCCATGACCAAGAGCTCACTGAATATGAACTCTATTTGTGCTGTTGCCTGAAATTACTTTTCCAGCCCCTCCTCACAGAGCAGCAATGGGTCATTCTCTTTAGTCTTCGTTATTGCTAGAGGGTGGGTTTGCACCAGGCTTGATAAAGTCAAGGGTGTAGGCTCAGTGAGGTAAGCACGACCATCCTGCCCCAAAGCCCCAGTGCCCCCAGCCCTCAGAATGCCACCGTGGGCTCTGCCAACCACAGCATCCCCTCAAGTGGGCCTTTGGAGACAGAAGCTGCCTAGGGGTGGATAGATTAAGGCCTGGCTACTGGCCATGAAGACTAGGGTCTGGGTCATTATGCTGCACCAGAAACTGAACAGGAAGCCAGTGGAACGCAACATGCTCTTGAGTCTCTGCTTTGTCAAGCAGAGAGAGAGAGGCTGCAGGCAGCCAGCAACCAGAGCACCGTCTGCTCACTGGTGACCCAGGTCAGAGTTGCTCCACCCTGTCCCGCCCATGCACAGCCCCCTCCTCCTGCCACGGGTAGGGCAACTTTACGCCAAGAGACCCCTTGCACATGGGGAGTTCTCCAGTGGTCTTGGTGGATGGCAGGCTGAGCCCAGCTCAACAGGCTGGGTGTGTGTGTGTGTGTGGGGGGGGGGGGGGCAAACTGGGGCATCTGAAGGGTTTCAACCTACATCCCCAGGCAGAGCAACACGTATCCACGCCTTCAGGCTAGGCTATCAGCAACTGAGCCACCGCAGAGGATCGAGCCCAGGCTCCTGGCTGAATGGAGATGGAGCCCACAGTTCTCACCACTGTTGAGTGCGCACCAGGAACAGTAAGAGGCTGCAGGTGACGGTGATGACTGGAAGGATGCGCCCTCACTAGGGGGGGGGGGGGGGGGGGTCCCTAGTGGATACTGGCTCACGGCAAAGAAAAGCCCCGGCACCGGC